CAGGGATCTCAGGCCACATCCCCCACCCAGTGGGGCTTGAAGGGGGACCTCAGGCTGCGCCGCCCGCCCTGGCGCCGGGCCGAGGGACCTCAGGCCGTGCCCCCTGCCCCAGTGTCAGGCCAGGGAACCTAAGGGTGCGCTGGGAGCCCTGAGGCTGTGCCCCCTGCCTGGCAGGGCTTGACAAGGATGGGGCCAGCTGGGTCTGGGTCTTACCCAATGGGAGTGGGGCTGGCTGGGTCTAGGTCTTGGGCAATTTTGAAGTGCTGCAGGTGTGCAGCAGCATTATTTAAAATAGCCAGTACATGGAAGCAGCCTAAGTATTCACTGATGGATGAATAAAGGAGTTAAAGGAGTTGTGATATTGATATATATGCAATTGGGCTATTACTATTCAGCCATACAAACTATTTGCAATAGCATGGATGGACCTTGAGTGTATTATGCTAAGTGAAATAAGTCAGACAGAGAAAGATAAACACTGTGTGAGCTCACTACATGTGGAATCTTAAAACTAAAACAAAACTAAGCTCAATAGAGAAAGAGATCAGACTTGTGGTTACCAGAGGCAGGGGATAGGAGGAGGGGAATTGAGGAAGCTGGTCAAAAGGTACAAACTTCCAGTTATAAGATAAATAAGTCCTGGTGATGTTATGTACAGCATGGTGACTGTAGCTAACTGGTGTATAACATATGGGAGAGTTGTTGAGAGAGTAACTCCTGAGGTCTCATCACAAGGAGATGTTTTTCTTCTTTTCTTCTTTCTTTCCTTTTTATTGTATCTATATGAGAAGATGGATGTTAGCTAAACCTACTGTGGTAACCATTTCACAATACATGTAAATCAAACCATTATGCTATATGCCTTGAACTTGTACAAGGATGTATAGCAATTATTTCTTAAAAGACAGAAAAAAATAATTTAAAAAAATCTTTCTCTGGAATTTTACAAGAGCTTCCTCCAAAATGTGTGTTCAAGATAAAATGTTTAAAATATTTTATTCCTTACTAGAGGCCTGGTGCTCGAATTCGGGGTTGGGGCTGGCCAGGGGGAGGGGCCCTGACTGTTGCTGGGCCAGCCCCACCCCCTGGTCAAATTCTCAGTCAAACTCCCGGTCCAGGGGACAATTTGCATATTACCCTTTTATTATATAGGATTTATTTACAAAGATTGTGAAAACTCTTCTTTTAAATTTTTTCTTTGCTGGTGCATCCTACTTGAACAATAGAATTGGCTGAACATTCTGTGTGCCAAATGAACAACCTTTATACAAAGTGTTAAATGTGATACATTTATAAGATGAAGGTGTCTCGTAAAGTGTAATTCAAAATGAATAGAATAAAAAATACCTGTTGTATGAATTGAAAGGGTAGAGATGGAGGAGTGACAAACTTGGGAAAACTTTTGCACTGAAGGTAGAACTTGAGGTAGATGCTAAATAATAGATGGATGTGGTAGAAGTTAAAAGGGTATTTCAAGTTGGGAACAGACTCTTGGCAAAGGTGCATTTGGCTGAAATGGATGCTTCTTATGGAAGACTAAAGGAGATATTGACAAACCAGAGTGGGACCAAATTATAGGTGTTTTCCAATGTGATATTAAGGAGTTTTGTGTATTTTCTTCCATAAATAATGGAGAGTTATGAAAGTTTTGAAAGACTATAATGAGTTTGATAGAGTAGTTTTAGAAATTGCTCTCTGTGGTGACATGAGAGCAATTTGAAGGCAAGTAGAACATTTATAATCATGTGTATGAGATGCCAGGGACCTAGGTTAATGTTATGGGAATGTCAAACAAGGGAGCTGAGACAAATGCTTCAGATGCAGTGCTGTAGTCTTGATGTAGTAAAGGAGGTGAAGGAAGACAGTATGTCAGGAAGGATAGTGAGGTTTCAGATTGGGTGACTGGGAGGATGAGAAATATGCCAGATGGCAGAAACAGGGAGGTCAGAAGAGGAAAATTGTTTGGATGGATGAGGGGAAGGAAAGCAATGGTAAGTACAATGGGGTTCAAGTTAATGTGAGCCACACACGTCATTTAAAATTATCTAGCAGCCTCATTCAAGATAGTAAAAGTGAACAGATGAGTTATGTTGAGTAATACTTTACCCCAACATATTAAAAATACCATTTCAACATATCTATAATAATAATAAAATTGTAATGTGCTAATTAGACTGGACAGCCAAACAACCTTCCAGACAAAGCCGGGGCTGTGAGGGCCGAGCCCCTTGCATGAATTTCGTGCATTAGGCCTCTAGTAATCAGTATAAAAGCATTAATGAGATGGTTGACATTGTTTTTCTCATACTGAGTCTTTGAAGCCTGGTGTGTATTTAACATCGAGAGCATATCCCAATGTAGCCACAGTTCAAGTGCTCGGTAGTCACCTGTGGCTGTTGGCTACCACATTGGACAGTGTGCTATTAGACAGTTTAATAAAACTAACAAATTTATGTAGTAGATGTCTCAAATAAGCTGGTGCTAAGACTCACTGTATTGGAAATTATAATTTCTGCTTATCCTTTATCACTTCTATTCCTTATGTTTATTTTAGCTTTTTCATATTCAAAATGTTCTTTTAGCCAAATATCATTTTTCCCCAAAGCACTAAGAATTTTAGAAATATTCTTGACATATCATTTCATTTCTCTCTCATTTAATTCTCCCTTTGACTAACAACTTTAATTAAATAAATCAGTCTGAGTCTCTTTGTTCTTCGTTTGTCAATCTTAAAACTCTTGATTATGAAAGAATTGGGCAATACATCTTCAAAACCCTTGGATAAATGACATTACATTTGGAAATGAAACTACAATACATTTTTCACGTTTCCTTATTTGCCTGTGTGTGTATACAGTGTTGAATGTCTGACATCAACTTGCTGGATTTTTGGTCGTTGCTATATGCTAAAGAATGAAGTTCAAAGGGAACTTCCTTCTATAGAAAACACGCCAAGGACATTGTGTTCCATCTTCACAATGAAATGCAGATTTCCATTAAAAGGCAAATCCATCATTTCAAAAGGTTGACTAGGATGGTGTATTAAAAAAAGCCAGCTGCTTAAATTTCGGGCATTGAAAAACAGCTAAAAATATTTCCCTGGGTCTCAAGCATTTTCATTTATTTATGGATTTAATAGATTTTCACTTAGTCTGTGATCTTGCTGTGATCTTGTTTGTGTTTCAAACACATCACTCGACTATGATACTTATTTAAATGATGTATGTTGCTGTTTAGAATATCTCTGAATTTGCTAATATAGTATTAATTTTTGCACAAGAAATATTGGCATTTTCTCACAGTACTTTGCTTTTTTCATGCTTGTTCCTAGGCTCCCTGCACTCCCATTTAGTCTCTTTGACATATTTTTTTTAATATATTTTATTGATTTTTTACAGAGAGGAAGGGAGAGAGACGGAGAGAGATAGAGTTAGAAACATCGATGAGAGAGAAACATCGATCAGCTGCCTCCTGCACATCTCCCACTGGGGATGTGCCCGCAACCCAGGTACATGCCCTTGACCGGAATCGAACCTGGGACCCTTCAGTCCGCAAGCCGACGCTCTATCCACTGAGCCAAACCGGTTTCGGCCTCTTTGATATTTTTGTGGGTTTTTAAAATCTTCTTTGCGGACGTTGTCTGCCAGCACAGCGTTGTGTTCTGCAACCAACTTCCCTCAGCTGCTTCAGTCACCTAGTTCTCTCTACCCCACCACTTGAATGTGCTCTGCCAACTGTTTTCTGAGCAACTTAGGAGTAAGAAGTGACAGAGAGAGTGTTGCTCCCAATGACTCTCTGTGGGTGTGCAGACAACATGATCCCCACCCACTGGCCTGGGAGCACAGATGAGTTCTGCTCTCCACTGCTGAGCCAGCCAAAAGTCCTCAAGGACATGCTGTAGGGGCCGAAGGAACAGCCAAAAAAAAAAAAAAAAAAAAGGCTTATATGTCAGACATGTCTCTACAGTGCATGTATTCTCCACAGGAAATACATTAATAGTTGTTTATTAAAAGTCATGGCTAAGTCTCCATGCTCCCCTCTTCCAGAGGCTAGTCCTGTTTTTCCTCAGGACCAGCACCCAGAGCTAGGGCCTGGGACCATAGAGGGACTACTATTGAACAAGGACACAGCTCAAATGCCCCAGGAGGACATCCTGACTAGGTTTCCTAGATTGAGTGTTTGGCTCTCCTATTATCCTTGGCTGTTAAGCATTTGTACATATGATAACATTGCCCCTGGGCCAGACCCTGAAAGTAAATGTTTCTAATAATTCTTTGCCACCCAGTATGTTTTACTAAGATCCATTTGGTGTCATTTGCAGACCTCCCCTCACCAGTGTCCATTTTCTTCCTAAAGAATTGTTCATTTTGAAAAAGAACCTGTCCTAGTTAATATCAGCCCACTTTTAATGTTTTGTTGTTGTCTTTTTCTCGCTCTCAAAGAGCTCAACAATTCAATGGCATCATTTTCTTTTTCTGGACCCCCATTTGTTCTAGACTTAAATGAAGGAAGTATGGCTGGGCTTCAGCATAGTTTAGGGGGGCATTTCATTTGGGGGTCCTTGTGCTTCCAAGCCCCTGCCAGCACTGGCTATCAAAACTGCTTAGACTGCAAATAAAATATGAAATGAAATCCATCTGGCATTTCTCATTGAATTAGGACCAGAACATTTTTGTTAAATATTAACAGATGGCTAAATTCTTAATATCAAGCTAACATTTGAAAACATCTAAGGGGACCCACATGAGGAAGAAAGGATAGAGGACCATGTGTTTTCTCCATCGCTGAGCCCTCCCTTCCTCTAGCCATTCCTCCAACCATGTGTTGAGAATCATTGGAGCCGCCTATCTCAGATAACTTCTCTTCTTTGGTACCTGGTATCAAAATAGTGTGTGATGGGATCAAAATATTGTAATCAAATGTTGGCCAGCTCAGGTAAAATGTCACCATTGACATGCTTCAAAGATCTTTTATTAAAAGTGCTCTCTCTCTCTCAACAGGAAAAAGAAAAGAAATATATGCTTCCCTTGGACAACCTGAAAGTTAGAGACGTGGAAAAAAGCTTTATGTCCAGCAAGCACATCTTTGCAATCTTTAACACAGAACAAAGGTAAGAAAACGGAGCAGCTCTGTCTTCAGATTTCCCTCCCCCCGAATTTCTACATGGCCCAGAGATCATATTTGCAATAGTTCCTTTGGCTCCACCTTGAAACTTGTTAACTCATCCATTTTGCCTTCATTTATTTTGTAGTTTATAGCTTCCGCCATAGGTTATGGATTCTAAAGATGAAAAATTAGAGTAAGAAGGATCTTCACATATTAGTTTATTCCCTGCTTTGCCAGGAGCCACCCCCATCACATTGCTTCCATTCTTAAACTGCATTTTATTACTTTAAAGTCTTCCTTGCCCTGAATTTATTGTTTACTTACAAATTACTCAGCCATCATTTTAATGATATTTGTCTGGCATGAATGGATACCACTTAAGACCTTTTCCTATATATTATGACTAGATTCTTGCATTGGTGAATAGAATTATCCAGATAACATGAAGATATATATATATCATACTTTACAGTTTTTCCAAACACGTCTAGGTTCATTGCCTGTTTTTTGTAACAATTGCCCATGAGGTTAAAAGATAGAGTAGTGTGGTTACCATTTTATAAATTAGAAAATGTAGCTCAGAGAGGTTAACTGACTTGCTTAAGATCACAAATTAGAGCATTGGAAAGCTTAAATCTGAATCTTTCTTGTCTAAGTGTCTTTCTTCCTTCCTTCCTTCCTTCCTTCCTTCCTTCCTTCCTTCCTTCCTTTCTTTCTTTCTTTCTTTCACCTACAATAGCAAAACTTAATTTAGCACTGATTATCCTAGAGTCCACGGTTGTTCACTGAAAGAAATTAAGTGGTAAAGTTAAATAAACAAATGGAGAGGTAACAGAGGACAAGGACAGAGAGGTGTAAAAGACGGTTACAACTAGGCAAGGAGAACATGGGAGATCTTTTCCAAATGGAAATGCTATAGGAAAAAGCTAATTAATTTCTATGACTTAGTTATTAAGAGACAGAGTAATCAGCTGTGGGGTCTAATTTTAACTCATCTTTCCAGGCCTTTTATCTTTATTTAGCAATGAATAAAGTTCCTTGATTAGGTTCAGTGACTGGCCCAGGGTCAATCACACAGTGAATCAAAATAGCAAAAGAAGCCTTTTTCCTACATTCCCAGTCAGTTGCTCAGAGTGACTCATACAAAAATACTTATAAAAACCACAAGAGCAAGGCACTTAAAGAATCAAGGGGACAGCAAATTAGATATAACTTCCCTATCAAATACTGAGATGGAATTGTTTTTTAAAAAGACTTAGAATTCCTTGAAAAAAAACCCCACAAAACATTAATAATAGAAAGAATAAAAAGGTTTCCTGGAGAGAGCAGTAGCATGTCTTCATACCTGGACTGTGCTCAGTGACTTGAACACCTTCCTCACAGCAGTAGGGAAGTGGGTGGTCCTAAAAGAATCATCAGGGTGGGGCTCAGCTTTCTGGCCTGGATGCAGAATGGGAAGTGTGGCTACCACATAGGAGTAAACTACAGTCGGGTCCTTGGTCAACCTGGAAAGTTTAGGTTCTGAAAGGGCTTGGTTCTTGGCCGGTGGTGCTCAGTGGGATCACAGGTTTGATCTCCAATCAAGGGCATGTACCTGGGTTGCAGGTTTGATCCTCAGCCTGTCAGCAATTGCGGAAGACAACCAATTGATGTGTCTCTCTCACATTGATGTCCTCCCCACCCCTCTTTCCACCCTAGGCCTGGCCTATTGGGCCTTCCCTTTCTCCCCATCCATTCTCTCTAAAAATCAATGGAAAAAATATCCTCAGGTGAGGATTAACAACAACAAATACTGATAATATAGCTGTCTAAAAATAAAAGGGCTTGATACAAAGTAAAAAAAAAAATCAGCATCTTTTTAGATGAAATACAACTGTGGATTTTAAAGAGAACAAAAGACACAAATAAGAAAACTCTATAAACTTCTAAAAATATAGGTATTCTAGAATACTAATTCTCAGCAGGCATTGAACTCTTCAGCTACTTCTCAGAAACCTCAGGGTACAAGGATGTCCCATCTACAGGCACTTTAACCAATGTCTCTTTCTCTGAAATTGTGATTAGTTTTCAATTAATTTTGTACTGGTGAGGACCTCTAGTAAGTGCAATGTCAAATACAATGGGTGATCCTTGTCTTATTTATATTTTAAGGAGAATTATTTCATAACTAGAAGCCTGGTGCACGAAATTTCTGCCCGGGTGGAGTCCCTAGGCCTGGCCGATTGGGCCTTCCCTCCCCCAACTGCCAGCTGCCTGCCAACACTTCCTTCGTTCTGTGTCACCCCCTAGTGATCAGCACATATCATAGCGAGCAGTTGAACTCCTGGTTGGTCAAACTCCTGAGGGGACAATTTGCATATTAGCCTTTTATTATATAGGATTCTATAGTTAGGTACTTTCTGATAAGGAACCTGATATCAGGTAAAGGAAATCCCTGTGTTTCTGGTTGCTACATTGTTTCTGTTTTAATCATGGCTGGGTGGTGAATTTTATCAAGTATTTTTTCTGCCTCTACAGACAAGATTGAATGATTTTCTTCTTTAATCTATTCATGTGGTGAAATATATCTTTAGACTAATGTTAAACCATCCTTGATCTCCCAGAGTGAAACCTAGTTAAGTCATGCTATATTATTATTGATTACGCATTCCTGGCTTAAGTTTGCCAGCATTTTTATTTAGATTTTTACATCTATGTTCATAAGTAAGATTGGCCCATCAATGTACTTTTCCCTTCCTGGTTTTCATATCAAGGTTCTGTTAGCTTCATTATTGCAGTGAGAATAAGAACTATCTTTCTTTGAAGCATTTTAGTATATGTGCTGCCGAAGCGAGCACATCTTTGAAGCATTTTATATAAAATAAAGATTAACCATTAATTGTTGTTTGGTAGAACTCATCAAGTACTGCTGGACACTTTTGTTAAGTAGACTTTTAACTAGTGATTTAGTGTATTTAGTAATTATAGATTTGTTCAGATTTCCACTTTTTCCATGTGTAAGTTTGGACAAATTATGGTTTTTTTTCCTTAGGAAATTGTTCATTCTGTTCATTTACAGAATTCTGTTCATACACATATTAGTATCAAGTACTTCTTAATGTTCTATTTTTTCAAATCTCTGCCTTATCTTAAGTTTGTTCGCTTTTTATTTCTAATTGTAAGCCTTATCTTTTTTAACATGAACACTGTTGCCAAAATTTTATCTATTTTTTAAAGAACCTGATTTTGACTTTTTGATCCACTGTTGTATATTTGTTTTTCATATTTCAATAACTTCTGCTTTCATCTTCAATATTTCATTTTATGTATTTTTTTGTGTTTACTTTGTAGCCCTTTTTTCTAACTTAATTTAGATGTGTAACTTATTTTTTTTTATCCTTCCTTTTTCTTATACATGCATATAAATTTACAGAATTCACTCTAGGTAATTTTTAGATACTTACCATAAATTTTTACATATAACGTTTTTATTATGAACTTCTGTTTCCTTCATTCTTCTGTTTCCACAGTCTTCATTATGATGTCTTCTTTCAGTTGTTTAGACAACGTGTTTGACATTGTATAGTGCATAGGATCTTATTGTTTTGTTGATTTCTAACTTAATTGTACTGTGGTCAGAGAATGCAGTCTAATACATGGTCCTTTTCATAAATATTCTGTGTATGCTTGAGAAGAATGTGTTGATTTGGGAGGGAAGGGTTTCATAGGAGTCCATTAGATTATACTTGCTAATTGTGTTATTATCTACAATTATTATATTTTTTCATCTTGATTCATTCAAACACTCACCAAGTATATATATTAGGCAGCTGTTATGTGCTAGGTACTGCTCTGTGTTCTTAAAATACATCTGTGAATAAAACAGACAAAAAAGATGATACATTTTAGATTATATTCTAGACAGAGAAGTTGACAGGGAGACAGACCAACACCATAAAGAATCTCACTTGCCTGATCAGTGTGGCTTAGTGGTTGAGTGTCAGCCTGTGAACCAAGCGGTCACAGTTTGATTCCTGGTCAAGACATGTGCCCTGGTTGCTGGCTCTGTCCCCAGTAGGGGATGTGCAGGAGGCAGCCAGTCAATGATTCTCTGTCATCGATGTTTCTATCTCTCTCTCCCACTTTCTTCCTCACTGAAATCAATAAAAAATTTATAATAATAAAAGTGTAATATGCTAATTAGACTGGATATCTTTCCAGACGACCTTCTGGATGAAGCCAGGGCTTCAAGGGAAGCCCGGGTCCCAGGTGCCTGCTGGCAGCCAGAGGGAAGCTGGTGCTGGCAGGTGGGAGAAAGAAGGCCTACTCTTGCAAGAGTTTCATGCATTGGGCCTCTAGTATATGTATATTTAAAATCTCACTTTATTGGAGGGGTGTGAAAAATCTCACTTTATGATTGTGAGCTTAATTATTCTAATAAGTCTGTCAATTTTTTCTTTATGTATTTTGAGATCAGTTACTTGAGTCTTATAAGTTTAGAATTGTTGTATCTTCCTGGTGACTTTCTTTTACTAATTCTGTGGCAACTGCTTTTATTTCTAACAATAATCTTTACCTTAAAATTAATTTTGTCTGATCAAAATATAGTTGCACTACATTTATTTTGGTTAATATTTGCTTGGTTTATTATTTTTACTTTCTTTCGACATGAATCTTTCTGTATTTTTATTGTGTTTTTCCTATAGCATATAGCTGGGTTTGTTTGTTTCTTTTATTTAATGTGAGAGCATTTTCTTTTAACTGGTGAGTTTAGCCCATTTATATTTATTATTATCATTACTGAGTATTTTAATTTATTTGAACATCTTATTTTAGTCTTTTTCATTAACCTGCCTTTCCTATACTTATTTTTCCCCATCTTTCCTGACTTCTTTTCCTTTTACTTAGGTTGATTAATTTTTTCCATTGGCTTGGAAATTATATACTTTATTTTTAATCTTTTAGTATTCCATTATTATTTTTTTACTTGAAGTTTGAAGTTAGTCAGTTTAGTCTTTTTTTTTT